AATATAATATTTTATATTACGATATATAATATGTAAAATGTGTATTTCGTAATATTATAGAATATTAAAATACTATACAGTATAAAAATAATTTATATACGATAAATATATCGCTAGTAGATTAATTGTTTAGGTTTGTGTTTCATATGCTTATGTCTCGTATGAATCGAGACTAACGATAACGCGTTCAATTATTATCGTATTGCCTATAATATACCAGTAATGATAAATCAAATCGATTTCAGCCTATGTAGCTTACTACCTGCTGATCCTGTCTTGAAAACCATTGAAATAATTTATAACTACGCATTACCATTAGTTATTAATTTTTCTTCCTCACGATGCACGTTATAACCGATTAAAACGGTAATTATGAATTCGCTATAATAAGCAAGTAGTACAAAATGCAGCAAGAAATCGTGAAGAAAAAGATTAAAAGAAAATCTCGTTGCAATAATGTCACCAACTGATGATTCTAAATAGAAGATAAAACAGAGCTGCGTGTATATGTAAAAGCTGTATTTTAGTATACGTATATTTCAAAATGTCAGATAACTCGATTGAAACGAAGCAAGCATGGTAGTAATATAATCGATGAAAATAAAATGGACACCGCGCCAAACGCGTTAATTTATAAAATTAAATACACCAACTTCTAAATTGCAAAATATATTAGAAACATAAATTCATTGTTACATAGTATTTAAACTAGCTTTAGAAATATTTTATATTCAGATTTATGTAAAAAACAAAAATCATTGGTATATTTTATACGAAAATTTTATGATCAAGAGCAAATTAAAACCGTCCGTATAGTCAAAGCAGTGTCTAAGAACATAAAAATATAGATGGAATGTGTGTATAGTAGCAGAGAAGAAATAAAATAAACTTGAAACTTCCTGGAGATAGCGCTACTCTCCACGCGATGTGACTTTGAACCACGTGTATTTCTACGAAAGTGCAAAGCGAAGCAAAGTACCCAAGAGTCATGTTTAAGAACACGTTTTTGTAACAGTACATCTCACGGCCACCGTGCATCGTAATTGTACGCAATCGGCAATATCATTATGCTTGCTCCGATTTAAAAACTAATTGGTAAGGAAACATTATTGGAATCGATTAATAGACGCACTTTTTCACTGCACACAAACATACGACTGTATGTCGTATCGAATTTATAAGTAACGGTGATAAGATATTCTTTGAAAACTTTTTATGGAATCACCAAAACTCATGTCAGATTTAATAGCCGTTTTACGAGGTAGGTAAACGAATAAATCGATCAAGTTTATATCTGATAACAGTACTCTTCGATTTATAGGAATTTCGATATAATGAAATTCGATTTCATTGAATTGTCGACATTTAAAATAAGGAAGTAATCAAGATGGCAAGAAAGGCCGCGAAAGTGCGTTGCACCTCGAGCAGAGATAAACAAAGGAACTGAAGGCGCGATCGAGGCGGTTATATAGTTACGAATCGACGTACCTTTCGAAGAAACGAAAACGAGGAAAGTTACGATGAAGAAGCTGCTCCTTGCCAATAGGATTCCGCGTCGAGAGGACCGGATCGACTTTCACGATCAACGCGAAATTCCTTTCTGCTTGCTTTCTTGATGTTCTCTCTGACAGTTTTCGTATCGCGGGTGTGCGATCGACCGTGCACGATCTGTACAGGGTCGTTTTCGCGGCTGTTCGAATTTCGAAATTCGAGACGCGCCAATTCTCGCAACACGAAGGCGAGAAGAAGAAGGAAAATACCGAATAAGAAAGCATCGACGCCTCTTATGGCGCGACGAAACGCTCTCACAGCAATCTGCTGGATAACTGACGAGCCGTATCGCGCCCGTTTCTCACCACTCGAACTGCGACACCTGGCGCCCTGAACTTTGAAACACTTCTAATACCGAATCTGTAAAAACAATGAACCAGCTGTCACCGACATGTCGAAATGATTACAATTTTATGACTGCTTCGTTATTGAAATCTTTTGGAATTATTAATGTTATGTATTTATTGAAGACTGATTCTATTTTCCAAATAAGTTTTATTCGTACTTTCAGAAAGTTTAAGTTTTGCGAAGCGTACTAAATACCCACCTTATAAACTATGCTTTTGTGTATAGGATGCACTTACATTTGACATGAACCATAAACTCGGCGAGAACTGGTGTATCGTTATTCGATTATACTCCTTTTTTTTACTTTATGTAAGTAAGATAATATAATTTATAATTTTATATTTATTTTATATGATTTTTTTTTAATAATTTAAAATTACAGGATAAATGACGTGGAAAATTTATTTTTGAAATTTAATAATCAATTTTATTTAAAGTTGTAAAACTTTGGCAATGAATGTTTTAAGTTCTAGTACTGCATTTTGCAGTAAAAGAGATGCTACATAACGATGACATAAGTTTGCACTTTGCTTTACGATGAGGTACGTTACAAACTGTTATATAACTACATAGTTACTAGACTGTAGCATGAGAATTAAGTTGTCTGAACAACTTTGCAAATAAACTGTCTAGGCTATAGGAAATTCGACGTAAAAATTAAACTACGTTATCACGTAGCATTAAAACTAAAATGATGAATTGTCGATAATTCCGTTTTCACTTGATCGACTTGCAATCAAAGTATATATCATAATTAAAAACATATACTATTAACAATTATACTTCAACAATGCAATTATAAGTATAATCGTTTGAAAATTTTTTACTAGCAGTATACAAAATTTGTGAATATAAAGATTTTTATGTATTTATAAAAAATAAATTATTGTTATTTTTGGTAAATTCGATAAACATTTAATTCAAATGAAATTTAATTATCTTAGAAAAATTAACTTCTATTACTTTAGCGATAGTTAAAAAATTTTTAGTAAATCTATTCAATTTATAAATCTAAACTATATTTAATATTTGAATTCTCAAGTAAATGTCGCAAAATCTACATTAATGACATTGATTGTGTATATTTTATAATATTTTAAGATATTTGTGCAACAATATATTGCATTTATATTTTATTTCTATTTTCTTAATATTATTTCTCTATCTATTGATTTTGTTACAGTGTATAAACACATATGCCTGCATATAGTTATTAAATTATTTAAAAATACTCATAAATAAATATAAAATGAAAATTTAAAGAGACAATATAATTGGTATAGTACGCTGTAGATGTCGACACCAACGTGTGTTTTCTTTAACGAGACTATCAAACGCAGCAAATGACATTCGAGAATCGAAAAAGAAAGTTTGATTCGAGTGTTTGTATTCTTTCCCAGAATATTGTTATCAGTACTTTACATACTTTTCTTTGTAAATTGTTTATCTCATTTTCTCGACCCAATATCACGCAACATGTATCTATAAATGTTATTGTTTCACATTGCGGTGCATCAAGCCGATAACGTACAATAAGTAGCGTCGTTTACGTTTCTTTTACAGCTGATTCTATGTTTGATGATGATTGTTCGATTTAATAAATCGATATTTATGCAAATAAACCGGAAATTTATCTGTGTTATTAATTAAGGTGAATTGCATTCCTCTGGTTTATTAAAAGTTTAAATAACCGAAATGGAAGCGGCAGGTCAAAATCAGGTACAAAATATCTCGAACAATATTGATGGTTCTGAAAATAAAGGAAGGTAAGATTATATTACATATTTCTCCTAATTAGTAAATTTTCCAGTATTATGGAAATTCATATAATAGGTAGTACATTAATTATTTTGTTAGTATTATGATATACTTTGTATTATGAATTTATATGTTAAATAATATTTATAATTAGTAAATATAAACATATTTTTATTTCCTTGTAGTAATGAAACTTATTTTTTTCTAGTTGTTTGTTACTCCGATATGCTAGTCAAAATTCTTTGGACGAAAGTTCACAAAAACATATACCCCGTGAAGGTGGAAAAGATAAACCACCATATAGAAATCATCATCATACAAATCGGGCATTTGATGTTATTAATGAAATGCGAAAGTAAGGAAGACAAAGTTGTTTATTATATTATGTATATTTTTTGTAATTTTAAGTTGAAAACTATGTGATAAACATCCAGTAAAGAGAGAATTATATCAGAGTCTCTTTTTGGATTATGTATATCTATTTTTATTTAACTTTGGAAATGCAATGTAATGTGATTATTTGTTAGGAAAAATTTATTGTGCGACGTAATTCTGGTGGCAGATGGAGGCTTAGAAGTTCCTGCCCACAAAATGGTTTTGGCTGCTTGTAGTCCTTATTTTTATGCTATGTTCACAAGTTTTGAGGAACGAGATCAGGAAAGGATAACATTGCAAGGCGTAGATTATTCTGCACTTGAATTACTAGTGGATTACGTATATTCTGCAGAGGTTCATGTAACTGAAGATAATGTACAAGTATTATTACCAGCTGCAAACCTTTTACAATTAACTGATGTCCGTGATGCATGTTGCGACTTTTTACAAGCTCAGTTACATCCATCAAATTGTTTAGGAATTCGTGCATTTGCTGACCTCCATAGTTGTTTAGAATTATTATCACATGCAGACAGTTATATTGAACAACATTTTTCGTAAGATACTAAAACATTTCAATTTATATATAGCCTAAACATTTGATATTTTAATTGGAATGGTTTTATTATATGTACAGGGAAGTAGTTGATGGTGAAGAATTTTTAACATTAGCACCACAGCAAGTAGGTAAATTAATTTGCAGTGACCGCTTAATGGTCTCTTCAGAAGAAAAAGTGTTTGAATGTGTAATATCATGGGTACATCATGATTTGGAAGAAAGACAAACTCATTTAGCACAATTAATGGAACACGTACGGTTACCATTGTTGTCACAGGAATATTTAGTACAACGTGTTGAAGAAGAACCTCTTTTAAAAGCAAATTTGCAATGTAATTAATAAAATGTGTATCATACATGGACATATAGCAGATTTTTGTTGTAATAACTTAATGTAACAAAATTAAATAGTTCATATTTTTAAATTATGCAGGTAAAGACTTTTTGATCGAAGCTTTGAAGTATCACCTACTTAAAGGAGAGCAAAAATCATTGTTCAAAACACCTCGTACAAAACCTAGGCAACCAAGAAGTTTACCAAAAGTGTTATTAGTGGTTGGAGGACAAGCTCCAAAAGCAATTAGAAGTGTAGAATGTTACGATTTTAAAGAAGAAAAGTGGTATCAGGTATCTGAATTACCTACGCGTCGTTGTAGAGCTGGTAAATAACATATTTTACATAAAATTTAAAATTCACGATAATTTCTTATGAATCATTACGTAATTTTTAACATATAGGTTTATCCGTCCTTGGTGGTCGCGTATATGCCGTTGGAGGATTTAATGGATCTCTTAGGGTACGAACAGTAGATATTTATGATGCAGCCACAGATCAGTGGTCACCTTGTCCAGAAATGGAAGCAAGAAGATCAACACTTGGTGTAGCAGTCCTTGGAAATTGCATATATGCTGTACATAGTTTATTTTTTTTTTTTTTCACATATACATATACATTACGTTATAAGTATTATTTTGTATATATGCCCTCTTTTATACATATAGTATATTTACTTTCATATATATGCATATAACATTTTTAAATCATTTTGTTAATATTTTTTGATTATGTTAATTATATGTTTTAAAAAAATAGGTTGGTGGATTTGATGGATCGACTGGTCTTAATTCTGCCGAAGTCTACGATCCAAGAACGCACGAATGGAGGTTAATTGCACCAATGTCAATACGTAGAAGTAGTGTTGGCGTAGGTGTTGTTAAAGGATTACTATATGCAGTAAGTTCAATGATATAACTTATAATATGATTTAACTTAATTTTTATAACATTATAATTAACAATAAGCTTAATAATATAATGATATATTAAATTATTGAAAATTTATTTTAAACATTTAAAATTGTATTGTATAAAAAATTGTATTTTTGTAGGTTGGTGGTTATGATGGAATATCTAGACAATGCCTATCCAGTGTTGAATGTTATAATCCAGAAAAAGATCAATGGAAACCAGTACCTGATATGGCTACACGTCGTAGTGGTGCTGGTGTTGGTGTTTTAGATGGAATTTTATATGCTGTAGGAGGTCATGATGGTCCATTGGTTAG